CGTCTCCTTCACTGCGTTGCAAACTTCTGACTGAAATTATAATACCCTGCAAGGGTATAAAAAACTCTTACTACTCCAATACGATAAGATCCCTTATTACCAAACTCTTTCCCAAAATCAGACTAATTTGGATCCCTAGCCATATAGGTATAAAAGGCAATGAGAGAGCAGACACAGCAGCTAAAGAAACACACAAATACCCTCTAATATTTACAGACAACTTCAACACCAAAGACATCACACAACTCCTTAACAAACACTATACTGACAAACTGAACAGTCTTCAAGCACAAACTACCCAATGGTACAAACAGATCTTACTAAACACGCCAACAAACTTCTCTTTCCTAACCACAAACCTCAACAGACAACAACAAATTATAATAAATAGGCTACGACTAGGACACACACAACTCACAAACGCCCATTATATGAATAGTTCCCTAACAAGTATCTGCCCCTTTTGCAACACCTCAGCGATAGACATCCAACACATTTTAATAGACTGCACTGCACTTTCACATATTAGAACCATTTGCTATTCCAATGATAACCCAATCCATCTCCTTTCGAAACCAACAGCAGCAAACTCCAATAAAATCATATACTTTCTACTTTCATAATGCTTGAACTTTCATAGCGAACGGTCGTGTTTTTGTTTTGCGCTCCGAACTTTTGTGTTGTTTTGCATTTAAAACCACCGGGGTCCAGATTTTAACTTGTTAAAATACAATATATAACTTTGCCGTTTTGCTACGCGAGTGCATGTGCATGTGTCTTTAAGTGTTTATTTAATATATACATATATCTAATTAATTCACTTTTAGTTTTTGCGTTTTTCTTACCCCCTCTTTGTGTTGTCCCGTTTATTTGCTCCTAGCGGCACTTAGGCGGCTCAAGCTTTCGTTTGTTTTCTCTGCTCACCCACGCTTACGCTCCCGCTCTCTTGTTTTTGTTCGGTACTGCTTATCAGCGCACAGTGGTTAAAGGTTTGTAAAATGGTCTCAAATTTTATTTGCGATATTAAAGGCTGCCAAAAAGAGGTTTTGGCAGATCAGCCCAGCCTTCACTGCTGGCTTTGCGATGCGGTCGTTCACGCTAAGTGTCTAAGCTTAACGGGCCGTATCGCTGACGCAATTTCTGCCAAAAATGGCTTGCGCTATTGTTGCCATGCCTGTCGTGAGGTGGAGAAGGATATGTTATCCTTCTTGCGGCAAACGAAAAGCGGATTTAGTGAACTTAGGGTCAATTTTCGTAAAACAAACGACCTGTTCACAGAGCTGGACGCTCAATTTAGCGGCATGAAGCTGTTAAGCGAGTCGCCAAAGCGAAAAAAATCTGCTGCTGGTCGGCTGCAATTGGGCGAACCCCAGCCACCAAAGATTTGGCACACTCCCTCGGCACAGCCCCCGACACCAACTCCAATGGTGTTAAGATCGGGAACGGCTAAAGATTCGGCATTCGAAGGTGCCGGGGCAGAAATGGCAGCAGCTCCGCCAGTGTTAACAGTTGAGTCCGCTGCGGGGTCTCAATCTCTGACTCCGCAGACTTCAAAAAAAATCTCAGCTATTCCAAAGGGTAAAAATAGGGCTGAACCACTAGCAGAAGTCGGTAATGCTGCGTTACCAAAGACCCTCACCGCTATTCCACCATTAAAAACAATATTTGTTTCCCGGCTTGCCCCTGATCTCGCATCGGAAGATGTACTAGCTCATATACGGAGCAAAACCCAAGCCAAAAGTGTGAAAGTGGAAAAATTTAATTTCTCATACCCCAGAGATATCTCATCTTTCAAGATAAGTGTCTCCCTCGATCTTTTTGACACAATTTGTTCTGGTGACTTCTGGCCCGAGCACGCTGTAGTCAAGGAGTACGAGGTAAAGATAAAGAAAAAACGACCTTCACGGCCGGCACAAACCACAGTGACTGCGGGCGTCACGGCAGTGCCAAAAAACTAAATACCTCCCTCCTACTTTCCTATCAGAATACTAGAGGGTTACGCAGCAAGATCTCCAAATAATATTCTGATAGCTTTTCGTTTGCATCCCAGGTGATTGTGTTTACCGAAACCTGGTTAAAGTCGGAGATTCTCAGCTCCGAAATTTTTCCGGGTAAGTACACAACTTATAGATTGGACCGTCTTTCCCAGCGAGGTGGTGGAGTTTTAATTGCCGTTGACTCCACCCTTATTTCCGAACTGGTTCAAATTGACGATCTCACAGGTATTGAACTTATCTGTGTAAAACTATCATTTCCAGGTAGTTTTATCTATATAACTTGTTCTTACGTTCCTCCATCTGCTGAAGAGCCTATTTATTGGAAACACCTTTCGGCAATTCAGGCTGTTTCCAACATTCTTACAGATAGAGACCAACTAATAACTCTAGGAGACTTCAATATACCTGGAGCTCGTTGGTCATCAGATGGTACGTCTAATGTCCTCCAAACTGCGGCACAGCATGACCTCATAGATGGTTTGCTTGACATTTCGTTGTCCCAAGTTAACCATGTCGTAAATTCTTTAAATCGCCTACTAGATCTGTGTTTCGTCTCTGATCCTGTAGGTGTAAACTTAACAAGAGTCGATCCTTTGACGCGTCCCGAAGACCCTTACCATCCTACTTTCGAAGTGACCATCGATTTGGGGACTGTCGTAAAGACCAAACCTGATCTGAGTTGCTCAGCAACTAAAGTTCGCTGCTTCCGTAAAGCAAATTTTCAAAGGCTAGATATCTTGATTTCCCAATTTAATTGGTCTGAACTTTACAGATGTACTGACATGGCGTCCGCCGTGGATATTTTTTACAGTGCCATGAATTCGTTCTTTGCATTGTGTGTTCCTTTAGCCTATCCGTCGGTTTCTAGTAAACCACCTTGGTTCACCAAAGAGCTGACACGCCTAAAAAACGTTAAGTCTAGGCTTTATAATCGCTATAAACGCATTGGATCTCCTACTGTTCATTCAAGATATCTTAGTGCTCGGTCGAATTTCACCGTGCTTAACGCGCAATGTTATAAAAGTTATTTAACTCGCTGTAGGGTTCAGTTCACGCAGGACCCGAAACAGTTTTATAACTTTGTTAACACTAAGCGAAAACCCAATTTACATCCTTCGTCGCTTTCGTTCAAGAACGCTACAGCAAACTCTGATCAGGCCATCGCCGATCTCTTTGCCGAGTTTTTCAAAACTACGTATTGTTACTCTTTTGTTTTGCCCAAGTCGAACCTAATTTTCAGTCCTATTTTAACCGAAAGCTCCCTTAGTTCGGATCTTCATCGTGTAAAACCAGTTTACTCACCGGGTCCCGATGGAATACCAGGCTGCGTGCTCAGGTATTGTGCCGGAGCTCTGTGCAATCCCCTTCTGAAATTGTTTACCTTATCTTTAGAAACCTCAGAATTTCCCCTTATTTGGAAGGAATCATTTATCATTCCTCTCCACAAAAAAGGTAGCAAATCGGACGCCAGCAACTATAGAGGAATCTCTAAGTTGTCGGCAATTCCAAAACTTTTCGAGAATGTAATTACTCCCCACTTGCAGCATTTATGCAGATCCGTAATTTCACCATGTCAGCATGGTTTTATGAGGCGAAGATCGACCACTACAAATCTCCTGGAACTCACCTCTTTCGTTATTAGAGGTTTCCAACGTAACTTTCAAACCGACGTGATTTACACAGACTTCAGTAAAGCTTTTGACTCGGTTAATCACTCTCTTCTTGTAAGGAAGCTTGACTTAATCGGGTTTCCTGTCGATCTTCTTAAATGGATTTTGAGCTATTTGAGTAACAGAACTCAAAAGGTTCTGTTTAAAAATGCTCTATCCAAATTCCTCAGAGTCACTTCTGGCGTCCCACAGGGTAGCCACCTCGGCCCGCTGCTATTTACATTGTTTATCAATGACCTCCCGCTGGTTCTAACGAATTCTAGAGTACTTATGTACGCTGATGACGTTAAGCTATGTTTGCAGTATAAGGACAGCTCTTGCCAGTCAGACCTGCAATCGGATCTTAATAACTTTCAAGCATGGTGTCGTGCTAATTTATTACATCTCAATATCTCTAAATGCAAGCTGATGACATTTTCACGTGTCACTCCCCAGTTTGCCACTTATACGCTAAATGATTGCGCTCTGGAAAGAATATCTCTTGTTGACGATTTAGGCGTTCGCTTAGACCCTAAACTTTTGTTCTCTGAACATATTTCGTGCATGGTTAATAAAGCCAAAGGCATGCTCGGTTTTATTAAGAGGTGGTCGAAGGAATTCGATTCCCCTTATATAACGAAGACCCCTTAATTCGTAGCGATAGCCCTTCTGTACTAAAAAGTTTAATACTTGTAGAGTTAGCTCGTAGTGTATCACCGTAGTCTAATGTTGCATGCGTTCTTATTTATTTATCGTAGTTATTATTTAGTTACATTATATTATTTTTTTTATATTTACTATGCATGTGTTTTTATTTATTTATCGAAGTTATTATTTAGTTACATTATTTTATATTTTTTATATTTATTTTGCATGCGTTTTTACTTAATTATTACTATTTTTATTATATTATATTTTTATTATATTATATTTTTGTTCCCCTTATTAATTTTTGTTCTCTTGTAACGTTTCCTCGTTCTTTTCTTCCTTCATTCACCGCGTCTATCTAGTTCGCGATTCGTGCCGTACGTCACACGGCTGCGCCCCTCGGTCGTTTGGGCGGGAGGTGGAAGCGGGACCCCGCGCGACAAAAAAAAAAAAAAAAAAATAAATAAAAAAACGAATCTCATACATAACATTTAATTTATAACATTGCTTTCATTTAATATGTACATATGTATGAATGTATTTGGGGTATGGCTCTTTTGCTACAGAAATCTACACAAGGCGAATTAAAACGAAAATTTAGAAATTCAAAAAAGTTTTACTGGGATATTATTAGTGAGAATACGCTTCTTTAAATTTACTGGGATACGGTGCTTTAAATAAAATGTTCCAATTTCCATTGTTTCATATCCAATGCCTTTCATAATCCAAAGATTGTCCAAACACGGTCACTTTAATCATGACAGCTTTGTTGATTTTTGTTGAATAGGTAAATATAAAATAATATAATTATTATTTTTTTTTACGCGAGATATTGTTTATGTGAATACATATTTGACAAAGACTGGGACTTCGATTTTAGCTGTGCCTTTTAAACTTCGATTCGATAAAGCATTAATAAATTTGTCACATTTACAATATACACAAATACATACATAAAATGGTAAATAATATATGTATGTACATACAAATGACAAAATGTGAAACTAATGTACTTGAGATTAATTAAATATAATCGAAGTTTAATAGCTTCATATGTTTATATATTATCATTTAATGTTGCTGGTATGTATATACATACATACATATGTATATTAGAATAGAGTAAACTCTTAAGGGGGGTAAGGTTAATTCGATGCACAAATGCCCACTTTTCTTGTAAATACCATTTAATAGCACAACATTTGAACAATTTTTGATAAATTTTGTATTGAGAAATAATTTAGAGGTAGAGGAGATATAGGGAATCTCCTGAGTCGCTTCCAATAAAAGTTGGTTTGCGGTGTACATCCTAACTGTCCACAGAATCATCCGATCTAAAAAAATGATACCTCATTCGGTTAAGGATAAGTGTCCCGAGGTATTCACAAAGCGTTTTTATTTTTTAAAATTTTTCCCGATTTTTTATAAAAATAGGAAGTCAAAACCCCGATTTTTGACCAAAAAAAATTAAGTTAAATAAAAAATATAATAAAATTAAAAATTAAAAAAAGCTCGACGTGAGTACCTGTAGATTTATCTAAAGAAGTTATGTTCCAAATTTCAAATCGATTGGTTCAGTAAATTTTGATTTATCGTGTACACCGATTTTCAAAATGGCATTTTTCAGGAGAGCGCTTTAAACTTTGTGATTCTCATGCATTGAACACCAGACGACCTTCGTTCAACTCTGCATAACTTCGTTAATTCTCATATGATCGATGTAAAACTTGGACACAATATTCTTAAGATATTGAGCCTTTAAAATAATAATAAAAAAGTAGGAAAAAAAAAAAATTAATCCCCCCCCTTTAAAAAAAAAGAAATACTAATTTGATTCGAGGCACATTAATATTTTTTACAAGACTTATTTATCTATTTTAGTAAAAGTATTAAAAAGTAAAGGGCAATAATGGGAAATTGCTTGAAAACAAGCAGCTCTTCCGATGACATTTCACTTTTGCGAGGCAACGACGGTGTTAATAGTTCTTACAACGAAACACAACAGGCACTAAATCATGTAAGTGAAACTATAGATATATCATGTTCATCTTCATCATATTTTGTATTTGTAATTTTGCTATTGCAGCAGGTTGAACAATATCAACGTGTATTTCACCCCACGAGCACCTCTACTCCATCTATCATTCGACAACAAGAACACCTAACAGAGAACGAGGATCACGTGAAGCTGGCAAAGCGAATTGGCTTAATGCAACATTTGCCCTTTGGGACATACGATGGAAGTTCGAAAAAGGCTCGAGAATGTGTAATTTGCATGGCAGAATTTTGCGTGGACGAAACTGTGCGCTATCTGCCCTGCATGCATATTTATCATGTCCATTGCATAGACGATTGGTTAATGCGAAGTTTAACATGCCCGAGTTGCTTGGAGCCCGTCGATGCTGCCTTACTCACTAGCTATGAGACAACATAGCGCCTACATATAGTTTTTCAAAAATGTTACATTTAAAAGTTAACAGAAAAATCACACCGAAAACTATTTTCGAGTTGGAGAAATATTTCAAAAATATATATTTTTTAGACTTAAATTATTTAGTATTTATTTTTTTAATTTGTTTCTCATTAAGTTTATCTGTTTTTATTTGATAGTTGGCGAATATGTAATATTTATGTTAGCGGGATCCAAATGGTATATCTTAAGCTCTCGTCTGTATATATGTATATCGGCTTTTCCAGAAAAGATCTACCGCGATGCTAAAATTAAAAGTCTAAAAACATGTGTTATTTTAATTTATATTGTTATATTAATATGTAAATATACAGAATATTATTAGTTAACGGCATATTTTTATTTTTGTCTTGAAATATTTGATCCTAAACTCACAGGTAGAATTTTTTCTCTGTTCGCGACCATAGTGTTGGCTTTTCGTACTTATTCGTTTTTTGCTTATATGATTGTATTACGATTTTTGTATCAACAATAAACTAATAAAAAAGTAAGAGGAGAGATAAGCAAGCCGTTGATTAACTATTATTTTTTTTAGTTTCTTGCACTTACTACTTTTCTGTATTGTTGTATAGCCAACAATTCATATTCTTCTCATTCACTTCCCTTTTGTCATTACTTGAAATACAGTCGGTCTAAATGGAAATGCATTTTTATTTATATTCTATTTTTTTTAATTGAAGGAAAGACACAGTTTTGTGTTTGGTTTAATACCAAAATTATTGCGATTTGAATATCTTACCGTGTGCCGTCGTAAGAAGGACATAGTACAATTATTTTTTATACTTTCTTTTTACATAGATGCCGATAGACAATAACAAAAAAAAACAAGAAAGGAAGCTAACTTCGGCACGCCGAAGTTTGTATACCCTTGCAGATATTATTTCATTACATTTTACCTATACTTATTATGTTTACAGTTTGACAGTTACAGTTTTACATTCACACCTTTACATTTTCTCTACATCTACCGATCGCTCCTATGGCAGCTATATGATATAGTTGTCCGATTTTCATGAAATTTATACCAAAATTTTAGAATAATAAAATAAGCTTATATCTTAGAGTAGATGAAAATACGTTGAAAAACAACGAAGTTATAATTTTTTTCCTATTATTTTTCCGTATCGTTTCTATGGCAGCTATAAGATATAGTCGTCCGATTTTCATAAAATTTTTACCAAAATTCAGAAATAATATAAAATGGCCATATCTAAAAAATGGTGCAAAAATTTAAAAAAACAGCAAAGTTATAATTTTTTTTCTAAAAATTTATCGAACATTTGTATGGCAGCTATATGATATAGTCGTCCGATCCGGCTCGTTCCGACATATATAGCAGTGAGAGTATATAGAAGACTATATGCAAAGTTTCATTCAGATAGCTTTAAAACTGAGGGACTAGTTTGCGTAGAAACGGACAGACGGACAGACGGACAGACGGACAGACGGACAGACGGACGGACAGACGGACATGGCTAGATCGACTCGGCTGTTGATGCTGATCAAGAATATATATACTTTATAGGGTCGGAAACGTCTCCTTCACTGCGTTGCAAACTTCTGACTGAAATTATAATACCCTGCAAGGGTATAAAAAACGTCGATATTTACAACAAATATAGGCAGATCCAGTCAAGTACCAAAAATATCCAGAGGAGGCTGCACTGATATCGCTAATACTAATACAAAAATAGAAACAGTCTCAAAATATCCATTGGCTCAAAAAATGTACAAAGTTGTTTGCAATGAAATTTTAATATCGAAGTACTAAAACAGCATATTAAATAAAATTTTCAGTTCGTAACTACTTGTATAATATTTTTTCCATAAAAAAGCACGTGTTCATCATTATTTTTATTATTACTAAAATTATAGGCATTTAAGTTATGTTTTAATAAAATGCCATTCAATAGCTTGAACAAAAATAATCTGGAATAAAATTGTAAAAAATAACATAATGAATTTATTAAATATAACTTCTATTAATGAAAAACTACATTATTTATTGTGGTTTAAGAGTTTTTTTTCTTTCTAATTATTTTTCAAAACCTTTGCAGACTTTTGCAATTTCCAGGGTGAAATCGAAAAAAAATTTCGTTTGTTGAACCGTTCCACAGTGGTCGATTGAGCCGATCTGGCAGGCAATAAATATAAAATTAAAGGTTAAAATTTAATTCATATTTGTCTTTATTTTGAAAACTAAAATCCCGGCAATATTTATTTTGATGCTACTATATTTTTCTAATCAATAGTCCGCAGTCGTGAGCGAGTGAAGCTTACTAAATTTTTCTTTCCACACTTAAATTATTTAGTATTTATTTTTTTAATTTGTTTCTCATTAAGTTTATCTGTTTTTATTTGATAGTTGGCGAATATGTAATATTTATGTTAGCGGGATCCAAATGGTATATCTTAAGCTCTCGTCTGTATATATGTATATCGGCTTTTCCAGAAAAGATCTACCGCGATGCTAAAATTAAAAGTCTAAAAACATGTGTTATTTTAATTTATATTGTTATATTAATATGTAAATATACAGAATATTATTAGTTAACGGCATATTTTTATTTTTGTCTTGAAATATTTGATCCTAAACTCACAGGTAGAATTTTTTCTCTGTTCGCGACCATAGTGTTGGCTTTTCGTACTTATTCGTTTTTTGCTTATATGATTGTATTACGATTTTTGTATCAACAATAAACTAATAAAAAAGTAAGAGGAGAGATAAGCAAGCCGTTGATTAACTATTATTTTTTTTAGTTTCTTGCACTTACTACTTTTCTGTATTGTTGTATAGCCAACAATTCATATTCTTCTCATTCACTTCCCTTTTGTCATTACTTGAAATACAGTCGGTCTAAATGGAAATGCATTTTTATTTATATTCTATTTTTTTTAATTGAAGGAAAGACACAGTTTTGTGTTTGGTTTAATACCAAAATTATTGCGATTTGAATATCTTACCGTGTGCCGTCGTAAGAAGGACATAGTACAATTATTTTTTATACTTTCTTTTTACATAGATGCCGATAGACAATAACAAAAAAAAAAAAACGTCGATATTTACAACAAATATAGGCAGATCCAGTCAAGTACCAAAAATATCCAGAGGAGGCTGCACTGATATCGCTAATACTAATACAAAAATAGAAACAGTCTCAAAATATCCATTGGCTCAAAAAATGTACAAAGTTGTTTGCAATGAAATTTTAATATCGAAGTACTAAAACAGCATATTAAATAAAATTTTCAGTTCGTAACTACTTGTATAATATTTTTTCCATAAAAAAGCACGTGTTCATCATTATTTTTATTATTACTAAAATTATAGGCATTTAAGTTATGTTTTAATAAAATGCCATTCAATAGCTTGAACAAAAATAATCTGGAATAAAATTGTAAAAAATAACATAATGAATTTATTAAATATAACTTCTATTAATGAAAAACTACATTATTTATTGTGGTTTAAGAGTTTTTTTTCTTTCTAATTATTTTTCAAAACCTTTGCAGACTTTTGCAATTTCCAGGGTGAAATCGAAAAAAAATTTCGTTTGTTGAACCGTTCCACAGTGGTCGATTGAGCCGATCTGGCAGGCAATAAATATAAAATTAAAGGTTAAAATTTAATTCATATTTGTCTTTATTTTGAAAACTAAAATCCCGGCAATATTTATTTTGATGCTACTATATTTTTCTAATCAATAGTCCGCAGTCGTGAGCGAGTGAAGCTTACTAAATTTTTCTTTCCACACCTAAATATATTTTCCCGCACTTTTTAGGCGTTTGCTTTTGCTTTGTAAAAGTTAAAGTTAAAGTTACTTACATACCTCAGACTTTCGTGGAATAGAACTTGTGATCCGTACGATCTCCTGCCACCAATCTTTCTGTGTTTATAGAATTAGCTTTTGTGAATCGTCCAGTGTCAAAATGAGGTGCTACCAGCTGCTACCCTATAGCTTATTATATTTTATAGGTACAATGTCAGTTTTAAGAAGCACGCTTTTTGCAATATGGCACAAGGAAACTGTGACATGAAAGACATGTTTTTTCATTCCTTATTGATGAGAACAATATTAGCGATGAAGAATACAAGCAAATAAAAAAAAAAATGCCGTAGAAACCACATATATTTTCAAAAACAAATTGAAAATTGGCTAAATGAGTCTATTTTGCTAACTGAAATAGTCTCTAGTAGCTCTGGGCGCCCAATAAAAGCTTTCTTTGATTGCAAACCTCATCTCCAAGTTCAAATAGTTTCCGACATTGTTAAGGAAATGCGAAGAATTGGTCGTGGCTGCTCGCGTGAGTTTGTTTAATTCTGGTAAAAGAAATGCATCTCAGATGTTATCGAACCTTGACTCAGAAAATCCCACAAATATTACTAAGAGAGCAGAAGTTGAAAATGCCAGAAATATTAGCCCTGAAGAAGTATATTGCTTTGGATGACGAGGTGATTCAGCTTTTGGAAAGCATCCCCGAAATTAGCAACAAAGAAATGTAATACCTTTTTATACCCTTGCAGGGTATTATAATTTCAGTCAGAAGTTTGCAACGCAGTGAAGGAGACCTTTCCGACCCTATAAAGTATATATATTCTTGATCAGCATCAACAGCCGAGTCGATCTAGCCATGCCCGTCTGTCCGTCCGTCTGTCAGTTTCTACGCAAACTAGTCCCTCAGTTTTAAAGCTATCTGAATGAAACTTTGCATATAGTCTTCTATATACTCTCACTGCTATATATGTCGGAACGGGCCGGATCGGACGACTATATCATATAGCTGTCACACAAATGTTCGATAAATTTTTAGAAAAAAAATTATAACTTGGCTGTTTTTCAACATTTTTGCACCATTTTTCAGATATGGCCAATTATTTATTAGAATATATATATATTTAGATAAAAATTTCATGAAAATCGGACGACTATATCTTATAGCTGCCATAGGAACGATCAAGAAATTAATAGGAAAAAAACAATAACTTCGTTGTTTTTCAACGTTTTTTCATCTACTCCGGGATATAAGCTTATTTTATTATTCTAGAATTTTGGTAAAAATTTCATAAAAATCAGACAACTATATCATATAGCTGCCATATAAACGATCGGTAGATGTAGAGAAAATGTAAAGCTGGGAATTCAAAACTGTAACTGTCAAACTGTACATATAATAAGTATAGGTGAAATGTAATGAAATAATATCTGCAAGGGTATACAAACTTTGACGTGCCGAAGTTAGCTTCCTTTCTTGTTTTAACATCAAATTTGATTTTCCAATTTTGTTTATTATAACAAAATACAGAACTTAAAATTTGTACAAAAAATTAAAGAAAAATTAAAAATTAATTTGGTCCAGGAGCCATGATGGATAGCCTCAGGCAATGCCATCGCCGGACTGAAGTCCGCTAATTACAATTTGCTCCATCCACCAACGGTAAGCAGGAATAGAACCGCCGTACTTGTACGGAAGGGTCTACACGCTAACCTTA